CTAACTGTTTGCTGAAGGGTATCAAAAGTACTATTTTACCCCTAGGAAGCGTCAAAATCAATTTTGTCGAGATTTCAAACACCTAATATGGTCGGATAATCGAATTGAAGGTGTGAATCATCTGCGGCCCACGTTCGGGGATAATCGAACCATCATACACTTGCAAATTTCAGCGATTACAATAGTCGTCGGCTTTCCTCAAGCATGGAAAGCGTTATCGGTGGATTTTTCTTCAAGTATAGAAAACCGCCAAGTCGGCTTTCCTCAAGCATGGAAAGCGTTATTGGTGGAATTTTCTTCAAGTATAGAAAACCGCCAAGTTGGATTTCCTCAAGCATGGAAAGCGTTATCGGTGGATTTTTCTTCAAGTATAGAAAACCGCCAAGTCGGCTTTCCTCAAGCTTGGAAAGCGTTATCGGTGGATTTTTCTTCAAGCATAGAAAACCGCCTAATTCCTTTGTCGGCTTTCCTCAAGCATGGAAAGCATCATCGGTGGATTTCTTCAAGCATAGAATGACACCAAATTCATACGTCACACCGATTTCCTCAGGTATGAAAAGTATCATCCAGTAGGTTTCTTCAAGCTTAGAAAACTACCAAACTCCTCAGTCGGCTTTCCTCAAGCATGGAAAGCGTTTCAACGAACGTTGTTCAGTGGAGTCCTTCAAGCATAGGAAGCTGCCAAACTCATTTTTCACCGATACACTGGTGCCAGGTACGTATTCTATCATTTTACTCTTTTATATGTGGAATTAACATTTTACTGCAGGTATCGGCGTATACAGAGTGATTTAGGATCACAGAACGTCTTAAATCATTCTCCGTCCCTATCGACTACTTTGACTATCGTTTTCGAAACTGACGTTTCTACAAACTCAGTCAGAGTGGGGGCTTAAATAGACACCTAAAAATGTCTCCCCAAAACCAAACCGGATGATGAACAACCTTTCACCGCCACTATTGGTCGGGTTCAGTATTTAATCCCGAGAGTGCTTAAAAAATCGTATTTGATTAAATTCGTATTTTTGAATAGCCATGGATTAGTCTTGATGTTTGGTAAAAGCATAGTTTTAGTTTCAGCCCAAACTTATTATTTAATTTTAGCCCAAACCTTTTTTTATTTAATTGTTTTATTATTTATTTTTGGCCAAAACCTTTTATTTATTTTATTTGCTTATTTTAGTCTAAATAATAATAAATCAGAAAAAGGCCCGAAATTATCAATCGGCACTTAAAATGATGAACGAAATTAGGGTTAAAATGTATTTAGAAGGAAAAGCGGACTGAAAATTCCCGCGCCATGGCAAGAGTCCACCGTGTCACGGGAATCTTTCCCGTCTGACGGTGGGATTTCCCGTGACACGGGAAACCTGCTGTGACATGGGAATTTCCGTGTCCTTTTCGCGTAAACCCTTAACGCGTTTTCTTCCCCGTTTACTAAATATTTCTCGCGTCACTCAAACATTGCACCGTGTCACGGGAATGTTTCCCGTTTGACGGTGGGACTTCCCGTGTCACGGTACAGTTTGCCGTGTTGCGGGATACTTTTTTAGGATTTTTTTTTTTTTTTTATCATTTTAGGGTTCCGTGTGTTCCTTCAGCACATTTTCTCTATAAATACCCCCTCATTTCTGATGTACGGGGCATCAATTAATTCTCTAGTTTTTTCTCTCTTCTATGCTTTAGCCTAAACACTAGCCTACCCTTCTTATTTCAAAATTCCTTCTTCAAGCACTCCAAGGAGTCCATACTTTACTCGTGGTTCTGTCCTTAAGCCAAGGCGTGAAAAGTAGAACTGTTTGAGGGTTTGGCCCCAAATAAACCCTACTTAATTTAATTTAATTTAATTATTGTTTTATTGTTATTTCCTTGAAGTTACTAACTCGTTTATTATTTTGTAGTTGCAAACAAACAGAATCAAAGTAAGAATAATGTTCCTCTTATTTCTATTATTTTCTCTAACGATTTTATATTGTTGGAATTATTGTCAAATTGCTTCCAATATTGATGTTATTCTATTATATTTTTTTTATTGATCACCATATTACATGTTTAAAGGATATATGTAATTGAAAATCACGCCTAATAAGATAATTTGGACAACCGGTTTAGGTTCATTTTTAATCTTGTTATTAATTCAAGTGATCACGATATTTTAGAATTATGTTTTGCATTAATATTCAACCAATTTAGCTTAATAATAGTTTGGAGCAAATTGAATCTTTGTTTGTATGCCTTTGAGATCGCAGGAATCACTTTTCACTATAAGAATCGAGTGGAGGCCAATACGGGCGAATATGACTCCATGACTCACTTCGTACCATCATCCCCGATCCTCCTTTTGTGGTTCCGAACCATATGGAGTTAGTAATCTCATGGATTATGAATGGGATGTAACCTTCACGCGTCAATCGTTGTTGCCTTCGTTGTCCCTTTATTCATGGTTGCCTTTTATGATTCGTTAACGGTTTACAAGTTCTTTAAAAAACTTGTTGGCGGCTCCCTACTTTATTTGTCCCTAATCGTATATGTCAATTCCCACTTCCTATGAGTGCCAATCATATTCACACATGCTTTTAACGTAGGCGCACTTCAAGCGACGCCTACAATATGATACAACCTAAGAGTTTTGCAAACTTCAGAAATTCATTTATGGATTGAAGTAAGCATTAGGGAGTTGGAACATTCGTTTTGATTAGGCAATCAAATAGTTTGATTTCCTTGAAAGAACGATAAGGAATCTTTTAGAGACAAGAATTTTAGTGGGCGCAATTGATTTTCTTGGTCATGTATGTAGATGACATACAGTTCATATGAAATGACATATCAATGCTTGAATAAATCATGCAGTGGTTAAGGAGTTGTTTCTGTATGATAAACTTAGGATATGTTGAGTACATATTGGGAATCAAGATCCACAAAGTGAATCTTAAACAATGATTAGAATGAATCGAGAGACTTATGTTGATAAGGATGTTGACAATTTCGTGAAGAAAGACACTAAGACTCAGTGCTTTCAAAGGCTAATAGAGTTGAGTTGTATGGATAATGTACCTCATGCTTTTGCAAAAGGGTCCATTATATGTGCCATGATATGTACATAGTAAGATGTTACATATGACTTTTGCATGTGTAACTGGTTTCAAGTAAATTCAAAATAAGCATACTGAAAGTTACAAAGAGCAAATCCTTGAGTACTTGAGAAGAACTAAAGGAATTTTTCTAGTTTACGGTGTTAAAAGTGAACAAGTTGTCAAAAAAGTTTATACGGATGCAAGTTTCCAAATAGGCAAGATAATTATAAATGTTGATCTAGATGCATACTTGTGTTTGAATTAGAAGGACAGTAAGCTTGAAGTGTTCAAAGTAGAGCACTGTTGCATACCCAATATCAGAATATGTGTATTTGGCTACAGTAAGAGTAGTTAAGGAGGAAGTTTTGGATCAAATTGTACTGTGAATAAAAGGACACCTTTATACAAAAAAGGATCCAAAGTCACATCACAAATCCAAACAAATATATATGAGATATCACCTCATTTATGATATCAATGACAAGCGGGATATCGTGATCTGCAAAGTTTTATTATGAGTGAGAAATCACTAAACCCCTTCCATAGACTATGATATGAGAGTCATATTACAGACTTGGATTGAAGCAAGTTATGTAATTTAAGTTGTGTGTGTTTTGAGAAAACATATTACATAGGGAATGCATATATTTGCAGAACTATGTTTAAAATAGAAATTTCATTTCTCTTATTTAATTATGGTTTTGGAAATGAAATAAAATGTCCAAAATAATTATGTTTTGATGGCTCATCATGTTGATCACCTGGTGAATGAAACCCCACAGGTGAACAAAATTCATATATTATTTAAGCTCTTAGTTTGAAATCATTAAAGTGGACATAAATGATTTCAATAAATGGACTAGCATGTAAGATTGATTGGATAGCGCAGTTTCATGGGCTATAGGGGAATAGAGATGGTCGGTCAATCACTTGGATATGCGTGAATGATGCATGATCGAACTATTGACCTACTTTGAAGTTCAAGTATAGAGCTTCCAGATATATTGGTGGATTCCTTTGACATGAGTGGAACATTGATTTCATTCAATGGATGTAATGATTGTGGTACACTCAAACGTCTATCCGTAACTCGAGATTATAAAGGGTGTTTTCCAGTTATTCCAAAAGTTGAGTGGGAGCCTTGTTGTCATAAGATTGAATAGAGTCTACCTATTAAATTAGGAAATGTGTCATGGCCGCTTAAAGAGAAGAATTTAGAAAATACGCGACCACGTTCAAATGCATTACTATGTAATCATTTGGTTTTGTAATTCTAACTCATATTTCAAGAAACGATTTGTAGATTAATATGATCTCGACATGTGATGCAATCATATTATCAAATCGACACATATTCACTTAAGGAATTTGAAAATTACACACTTGTCTCAGACATGTGGGAGATTAAAGAAATTATGCAATCTCATTTTCGTTGGCTATTCATGAGGTTTGCATAAATTGGAGGTGACGCCATTGTTGTTCAACCTCGGGAAAAGATGATGCTATCCTACTCATCTCTAATGTCCAAACACTTGGTACAGTATTCCTTCCTAATGTTTTGAGCACCTGAACATGTGATTGTCTTGCTTCTATAATCCTTATAATCTCATAGTTGTGTCCATAAATTCATTTTGTTAGTCGTGTTTAATGTTCATTTAGAGGCTAAATATCTGTTAATTAGGAAAAAAATTTCTTATCTTTGTCTTCCTTGTGCAATAGTGAGGTGATTACCCACTAGCTTATCACTATGAAAGTTTCCCTTTTATGCTACAGTGATGCACCCCTCTCTTTCCTACATCGAAGTATGTACTCTTGAGAGGACTTGCTCAATGGGTTAGGGGCCCATTTAAAGCCCTGGTCCAACCCTTTTATAAAAGGGTTTTACCCATCCAACATTTAAACGGGGCGGGTTATTAAATAATGGGCTTGTAAAGAGTTGGGTCTAAGTTTAAAGGGGCTAAAATTGGGTTACACTTAAAAGGCTTTTTATCCTAATTTTTCTATTTGTTTCTAAAACTTTCTAACGTCAATTTTAAAAATTCCCTATTTTCCCCGAATTATGAACCCTAAAAACAATCCCAAATTCTAAATCTTCTTGCTTGCTGCTCTCAATTGTGGATTCCGTCATATCACTTCAATTTCCAAGGTATGTTGTTCGATGTCGCTCAATTCTGCTCGATCAGTTTGCTTGTTCAGTTTGTTTGTTCGATTTCGCTCAATTTTACTCGATCACTCCAATTTATCACCTTCTGCTCAATTCTGCTCGATTTTCATTGTTAATGAGAAGATTAATGTAGTTTCCTATGCAATTTTCTCATTGAAATTGACTAATTTGATATATGATTGAGTCATAAACTTTACCGTTATAATATACAGATATATGCACTTATGCAGTTCTTCCATTGATTTGTTTTCTTACTTTGAGTTTTGGGTTCTCTGTTTCTGTAATTTTGCTGTAGTTTTGTAATTTTAGTGATTATGGTATATTTAGTAAGTTGTCATCTATTACTATATTAGTCAATTACCACAACTCCATAAGATATTCGTAGCCATATCAAGAAATATATAGTGAGGAGAGAGAAGAGATATCAAGGGTTAATGACTGTTATGATTTCATTTGCTATAAATACAAAATCAATCAAGTATATTATTTTTCATTCACATGATAAATACTTGGTATAATTCTATTGCTTTGTTGTTTGTCATCATAGTTTGTCAGCTTCATGAGATGTCCAGGTGATTATCAACATATAGCACAAATTGCTTCTTTAATCTATACATTATACTCATATTTCATAATTGTGATTAGCAGCTATATTGTTTTGTAATTATATATTTCTGTAATTTTCGTTTTCATGTTAATAATAATAATGGCAGTGGGTTAATAATTATTATTTCCTACTTTTGCAGTTTTTTTAACCATGGAAAGTGAATCAACTACAATGTCAATGCCGGTAGATGATTAGGTTGATGAATCTAATGCCGCCCGTTAGCGTAAAAGGAGTAGGAAATCTAAAGTTTGGCGAGAAATGACGGAAGGAAAGAATGCAAAAGGTGAGTGAATTGCTATTTGTAAGCATTGTACAGTGGAGTTAATTTCCCACAATAATAGTGACACATCTCATTTAATACGTCATTTGCTTGATGTGTGTAAAAAACGAACTAGTGGACTTCCACTTGGGGAGACGGTTGAGGATAAGGAAGAATTTGTTTTTGATATGAGTGAATTAAGAAAAGAGATTTTATTATATGTTGTTGAAGGCTCTCATTCTTTTTCGACCGTAGAAGAAAAAGGTTTTAGGCGGATGATGTTAAAGGCTAATTCTAAATTTAAACCATTTAGTCGAGCAACTTTAACAAGAGACCTTTTTTCTTTGTATGCCTCTTATAGAGAGAAATTATAAAAAAATTGAGGAATGCACCTGGACGAATTTGTTTGACAACTGATAATTGGAAATCATCACATACTTGGCAACATTACATTTGCATAACCGCCCATTTTATTGATCATGATTGGAAACTTTATAAAAGGATTATTAAGTTCACATCATTGTCACCCCCCTTTGATGGACAAAGCATCTCCGAAGAGATTTTTATGTTTCTTAATCAATGGCATTTAGATGACAAAGTGCTTAGCTTAACGGTTGACAATGCAAGTTACAATGATGTGATGGTTAAACACATGAAAAATCGTCTTGGGTCAAGGGGTATGTTTGTTAATGGTGGTTATTTTTTTCATATAAGATGTTATGCTCATATCATCAATATTATTGTCCAATTCGGTCTATCTTGTATTGAGAACATATTAGATAAGATTAGAAACTTGGTAAAATTTGTTAGAAGATCATCTTCTAGAAGCAAGGACTTTTATGATACCGCTCAAAAGCATTTTCATTTAGAGGCTAAGAGGAAACTTCGTATGGACATGCAAGTTTGTTGGAACTCTACATATATGATGCTTGATAATGTGCTTTACCATAAAGATGTGTTTATTCATTTGGGTTCATTACATGCATCTTTCAATAGTAATGTGCCTTTGGATGACGAATGGGAAAATTTGAGTGTTGTTCACAAGTTTTGTTACATGTATGTTCTCGGCCAATAAGTCTCCAACTTATAACATGTATTTTAAGGGAGCATGTATGGTCACTACTACAAAATTCATGGAATCTCGACGCCATAGCCTCGACGCTGCTGGGTTACCGTCAAGGTGAAATGACATATCCCGTGGTTTGGCGACGCTTTTCTAGGTCGAACTAATTTATTGACTTGGAAAAGCGTCGAGATTTAGTGATATATCACATGTCCCGGACGTGAGATATTAGATAAGCCGCATACAAATCTAAGAAAGGGAAGATGATAAACTACTGCTTTCAACACTGTTGAAAAATCCCTCATTTCTACCAGATCTACTCTCCACCGCAGCAAATCTATCTAAATTGTTTAACTGGTTTGCAATCTTCTTGCTTGATGAATTGAATATTTTATAGATGTATCAATTTCTTCCATGACCGGCCTATTTTCATACAGATTTCAGGTATTATCTTATTACTCTTTAGATTTTGATTTTAGGGTTTCAATATCATACTTTTTTCTTCTGATAAATCTCTTTTAATTTATCATGGATGAAGAAAAGATGAAGAAAGGAGTAATGGATTGTGAATTCGTTGTCATGAAGTAGTCAATTCTCACCTTTACATACAAGTATATTCCCTCCTTTAGATTACTATTTTTCAAACTGCTTGAGTATAAATTTCATCGATTTCTAATGATTAGGTTTGATTTTGTTTGTTTTGGCGATTTAGGGTTTGAGAATTTTGTTATTAATTAATTGATAAATCAATTGGGTAAAAATGTTGTCAAGAAAACATTTTTTTTTATTTATTTTTTTTTAAAATAATCGATTAAAATCTGATTTAGTAGCAAGTTTTTCATTTTAATATTTATATATTTTGTGTAAATTTTGTTCTTTTAGTTTATCTTGTGCAAAATATGTTAAATCAGTTATCATATATAGCAATCATTAGGGTGAAGGTTATGCTATGAAATTCTATATATTTGCTCTTGCAATTGTCTATTGTAATCATCTATAATTTTTAGGATCAAGTGTGTGTATTGATGTTGTGCTTTGCTTGGAACCCGTGATATTGAAGAAATTGGAGACAAAGGCATCTACTTTTGAAAGGGCCTTTTGGCATTCATGGAGCATCACTTGTTTTTAAAGCTGGAGACAAAGGCATCTACTCAGAGGTTTATACTCTTTTCTATTAGTAAAATATTTATTCATTGAAGTACTAAAGCATGAACATTATAATGTAGGAGACACTTTACTGATTTATATTTGCATGCTTGCTAAACTTCATTATAATAAGGTATAGAGGCCTACTTTTTGTGCATTAATAAATTTTAAAAAAAGAAGGCTTGATCCAGATATCTGGTGAAATCTTTTGGCGTTTTGCCGTGTGAACAATATAGGACCAAATGTGCAACTTATCTTGCACAATGACACTAAAAATATCTCTAGAAATGGGCATTAAATTGTTATGTCTTTTACTATGCCATATGTAGGAAGATACTAACTTATAAGATGAGTAGTTTGATTATGTTCATCTGGTTTGATTCTAGTTGTTTGCATATTTATTCCATTTTCCGTTAGATTGAGTTGAGTTGGACTGGGCCTACACATAACCTATGTCTTCTTTCCCCACTAAAGCATGTCTAGTTTGATCTCAATAGTCTATAACCAACGCCTTCTTGATTTTGGCCTGTATATTTTCCTTTCGGCGTCTCTTTGGTATGTTCTTACAAGTTTCCAAATACAGATATGGGCAGAACAACTTCTAAGCATGTATGTCAATTGGGCTGAAAAGCAAGGTTACAAAGGTAGAGTATTGGAGAAGTGTTCCTCGAACAGTGGGGGCATTAAGTCTGCCACTATTGAGTTTGAATTTAAGTATGTTTATGGATTTTTTATTGGCGAAAGAGGTGTTCACCGCATGATCTAATGAGTTCACTTGAAAAAACAAGTTGCCATGAGGTACACTTTGCTTAACTAGTGCTGATTTCTAAAAGTGCATTTATTATCACCAGATGATCTAATTTCTACATAAAGCTGATATAATACTTCCATTTGGATTCAATAATAACATTGCAAATTCAATATTTGGTATAGTAACAATTATTTCAGGACAGAGGTTGAGAGGTATAATGAAAGCCTATAGCTAGTAACTATTATAGGATAAACCATAAGGTCATTTACATGGTATCATTATCAGGCCAATGATAGTCAAAAGGTCTTAAAGCTTGAATTTGTGGCCTCGTTATTCTAACAGTGAAATATGTCGGCATAAGATATGAGGAGGGCGGGTGCATCATCCGCACTTCAATTCAAGTCAGTTTGAAAAGCACAACTGGTGATATCGATATGTAACTCTGTAAGCATTGGTACAAAAAAAATACTATAAGAATTTTTGGGCAGTTTTACAGCTTCCAAAGATGTATACACCTTATAGCTTACTAGTATTGAAATAGCTTATATTTTTTAACACTCAACATTCTTTGCTTTGTATAGTGTAGAAATTGGTTGAGCTTTCCGTGATATTATTTAATATCTCACTGTTCCCTGATTTTATGTGCATGTCATCTTAGCAGCTATGGATGTCATTCCTCTATTTCTTGAGACGATCTCTGACTTACCATTAGATGATAATGATCTAATTATATCCTATTTGCCGAGTGAAAATGATACAGGACCAATTGTACACGTTGTTCATATTCAGCATGATCCTAAAGGCATATGCGTGCAATCCTCATGTATGACAAGCTGACTTCTGTGTTCATGATTATGATGGTAGTGGGTAGCATATAAGGTGATGCTCAATTTGTACTTTCTTCGTATTTGATAAGAGAATGATCTGTGTTTTTGTTTACTGGAGGTTCTTATCTTGACCTTGGCCACTTTCTCTTCTTCATCAATTTTGTGATTGAATTGTTTTCCTCATGCATTTTCGAGTTGTGTAAAAGAGTTTTTCATGATATAGCTTAAACATGTATACATGTGTATTGCTATGATTTGGGCAAATATATTATGTTGGACTGGCTAAGAATTGCAGAAAATTACTTAGTGGTCTGGCGCTGCTTGTTGGCATATTTGCGAAACTGTAAAGTTATGTAGTTACTAAAATGGTTAAGTGTAATGTCACACTGTGATTTCAGTTGCAATCACCAGCATAATGACTTTGATTCTCTCTCTGAATTGTCTATACTGAACCAAGTGGTGAAAGAATTTGAAACAGTATCTTTGGAAAGTGATGGCAGATTTACCTGATTTAGTAAGCTGATTGATTGATATTTTTAGTTAGTATGATATTATCTTGTTGTTCCCATTTCAGCTATAATTTTATACTTGGAACATGATCTCGTGATTTCCAATTCATGTATATTTGCTGGATTGACTTGACCACTATGCTTCATTCATCTACTTGATTTGTCTTATGTATTCAAATTGAAGATGTAAAACTTATAAAGGAGTTGGCAGAAACAGATGCTGTAAATTATGGACTGATAAAGCAAGCGTATGATGCATCATTTGATATAAGCAAGTTCTTAGATCAATATGAGATGTCCAGGCTTTTGAAAGGGCCATATGTGAAAGGTGTTTTATGGTTTCTCTCAAGTTTTACTCTTATATTATGTCTACTATTTGTTGTAGGGAAATTGTGATTGACATTATGCATATCCTAGCTCGAGTCTTGAGATTTGTGAAGGGTGAATCTGTGATCTACACAACTTTTGATTGCTCTACAATGAAGAAGATTGTGCAGCCAATCCTTTTTTTGCTCAAATTCAGCAGGCCCTGGCTTCCATCTTTATTGAGAGGCTGCTATGGCTCTCAAAAAAATGTTTCAAGGTCTGAACTGATTGCCACGCTAGCTTGGGCCTCTCTTGGCACTGTAGGAATATGTCCACCTTTGAGAAGAATTCATTTAATGATGTTGAGGTTTCCAGGGGGGTTGTGAATATGGTGCGTGAAAGTAATGAGTATACTGGAAGGGTTGCTAGAAGACCCAGCCAAATCTGCCCACCAGTCAGTTCGTGGAGTTACGTTGCCCAAGTCAGAGAAGGGTCAAGGTAAATCGTGATGCCCATTTGGGCATTAAAACCGGCTTGGGGGCTGTGATCAGAAATGATCAAGGGACTGTTGTTGCTGCTGCAGTGGGGCAGGAGGGTACAGGGTGGGATGTAGGGTGTGCGAAAGTTGTTGCCTGTCAGTATGGTCTACTTGTGGCGAAGAGGTTGGGATACTCTGATGTTCAGCTTGAAGGGTCAAGGTAAATCGTGATGCCCATTTGGGCATTAAAACCGGCTTGGGGGCTGTGATCAGAAATGATCAAGGGACTGTTGTTGCTGCTGCAGTGGGGCAGGAGGGTACAGGGTGGGATGTAGGGTGTGCGAAAGTTGTTGCCTGTCAGTATGGTCTACTTGTGGCGAAGAGGTTGGGATACTCTGATGTTCAGCTTGAAGGGTCAAGGTAAATCGTGATGCCCATTTGGGCATTAAAACCGGCTTGGGGGCTGTGATCAGAAATGATCAAGGGACTGTTGTTGCTGCTGCAGTGGGGCAGGAGGGTACAGGGTGGGATGTAGGGTGTGCGAAAGTTGTTGCCTGTCAGTATGGTCTACTTGTGGCGAAGAGGTTGGGATACTCTGATGTTCAGCTTGAAAGTGATGCCTTGAATGTGGTGAATGCTGTCCGAAACAATGCCAAAGGATTTTCCCTTGTGTTTCTCCTATATGATAATATTTGTAGGCTTTTTTCAGTTTTAGTTCGTTTTTAATTTCTTATGTAAAGCATTCGGGTAATACATTAGCTCATAATGTCGCTAGATGGGAGACTAGAAATTGTGACGAATTTGTATCTTTGGGTCCTTTTCCTCAAAGTTTATTGACTTTGGCGGAAATTGATCTTCTTTAATATATTTTTCCCGTTGCTTGACCTCAAAAAAAAAAATATGCGACATTTTTTTTAATTAATTGTATTGATGTTTTCTTTAATAAATTTAGTAATTAACTACGTACTACTTTTATTATTGTTGATTATTTTTTTTTTAATCTAGTTATATAGAATATTTGTTTACTTTAATTTATGATAAATTTAAATAACTATAATGTATGTATGATGGTAATAATTTAATAAAAGGAAAAAATAAAAAAACTTTTAAAAAAAATTGAAGACGCTTTTTAATGTCTATATATTTTGCACATTTTCACATTTCAAGAGTTTTCCGCCATACCATAGGCTGACAAATAAACACAAGACAATAAAAAGCGTCGCTAAATTTGAGTATGTGGACATGTAAAAGCGTCGCAAAAAACTACACAAATTTGGGATAAGTATTTGCCGACACTTTGTACATTAGTTTGGACACATAAAAGCGTCGATATTCTCGACGCTTTTGTGGTCCCTAAAAATTCTCGACTCATGTATTCTCGACGCTTTTTAGCAGTGTCGAGAAATATTTTTTCGACGCTTTTTAGTAGTGGGTGCATCGTCGTTTACATGAGATATCTAAAGGTCCACATGAATTTTTAGCTCAAATGGTGTTACCCATGTTGGAAAATTTTGACAAATATTGGTCCAAGTATAACATATATCTAGCTTGTGCGACAATTCTTGATCCAAGGTTTAAGTTAAAGTTTGTGGAATATTGTTTTGACAAGATATATGGCTTGGATGAGGCTATGTGTAAAGTTGAAAAAGTGTTGAACACTTTAAGATCTTTGTATAATGTGTATAAGTCAACAATTTCAACTTCCCCAATTGCTGCTCCCTCTACTACAAGTAGTAGGATTGAAGATGAAACTTCTTTGATGATTATCAAAGCTATAGTTCAAGAATTACAAGTACTCAAACAAAAAAATCCCAACTTGAGTCATATTTGGAGGAATCGGAGCTTGATTTGAACATGGAGCTAGATATTATAGAGTATTGGCAACAAAATGCCGTGAGATTTCCGGAGCTTGCAATATTGGCACGAGATCTTCTAACAATTCCGGCTAGTACGGTGGCTTCCAAGTCGGCTTTTAGTGTAGGGGGGGGGGAGAAACTATATCTCCTAATCATAGCTCATTGAAACCCTCAACGGTTCAAGCCCTAGTTTGTGTTCAAGATTGGCGTCGTGATGAATATAACATCCCTTCAAATTTGGATCGTGATTCTAGCTTGGATGATGATGAGGCCGTTGATGATGGAGATGATGATGATGAGGTTGGTGATAGTTTCCTATATTAGGTAATTGTATTTATTTTGCTTTTTTATTGCTTTTGGTTATCTTGTTCTATTTCATATCAATAGAAGATTCACCAGGTATAGTGGCTCAATGATTAACTATTCTTTTTTTTTCAATTTCACCTTTTATCGAATTAAACAGGAGAGTCCAAGGATGATTACAGCATTAATTCAGGTATATATAATTACTTACATAAGCTTTAAAAATCTGAAATATATAGGTTGATGCAATTCAGGTATATTCAATAACTTACAACATTAATTTAAGTATTTTTAGTGTAGGTTTTTCCTAGTTGCATTTGAGTTTTGGTGGCTACAAGCTGCAGGCTGTCAGGCAGTAGACATGCAAAAGATTAAGAAGCTCAAAAGATCTGTTCTTTGGACTTTGGCATAACAAGTTATCTAGTGTGGATAAATTGTGTAATGAAAATCATAAGTAAATATATAAGTTCTGAAAGTTATCTCGTTCATATCTACTGCTTGAGAACAATTTGTTAGCTAAGGTCCTTTAAAGGCTCTTTTATAAGGCCCCTTAAAGGCCCTTTATAATTCTCTTATATTTGTATCTACTTTATGGTTGTTTTGAATTGTTTATACATTTTAAATGGGTCAGGCCGGGCCGGGCTTAATGACCCATGGACAATATCGCCCCATTTTTTATTGGCTTGGCCCAACCCGGCCCATTCCAGATAAAGCCCTGTCCGGCCCGACCCGTTGAACAGGTTTACTCTTGAGCTCTCCACTGAAGCGGATTCTGAGCTTTCTCCTCCATTGAAGTAACTTTTGTGGTGTATTTATTTTTATTTATAATAATGTTAGCAAATATCAATTTCACAATCCAATTGTGTCATTATAGTCAACTTAGGCTTTTGCTATTAGTTCAGCAGCTACGGTGATGGATCATCTAGTGCCAAGGTTCCCGTTTCCTCTCCTCGCTGCCACACTCACAATATCTTTTCTCTTTCTCTCCCTTCTTTAAGTTTAAAATGAATCAACTAAATTAAGAAATTAGCATTTGTTTCTTTAATGTAAAATTTGAGTGCCAATTTTTTTACTTCATCTTATTTTTGTACATTTTGCTGTTTTGTGAGGTGCAAGTAGGACCCATGTTAATACTTGAGAGTTAGGATTGGGTTATCTTCTAAAAAATTAGCATTTTTTTCTTTAATGTCTTTGTAGCTTCTTTCCTAATTAAAACTTTTGCCACTGGATGCAGTGAGAAATTGCCATCTTTGCTATTTCTCTTGCTCTACAAGGCTGGAGCCAAAGCCTAGAACATTCCTCTATGCCTGATGAGTGTCATTATGGCACTTATTGGATCCTTTTTAGGGTGAATTTCCTTCTCTTTTGAAGCTCTTTTTATTTTGCTCTTAATTTCTTTAGTTTGCATTTTCCTTAGTAGATTTTCCATTTTCATGTATTTCTTGGTTTATTTCGCCTATTTCCCCTAAATTTGTTTGTTTTCTTTTATTTTCATGACAAGATTGTTCCTGAGGTCTCTTCTTGGGTTTTTCATTGATTAGGATGGTTAGTGTCTTCCATTTAAAGCTCAAGATTTGTGATGTGCAAGTTTCAATATTCCTTAGGTCGTGCATTCAAGCCCTGCGGGCACCGATTTTGGTGTTGAACCCACTATCAAGGTGCTTAGAATATGCCATGCTCCGTGTTCATCAAGCATAACAAATGGAGCGCACGAGGAGCATTAAGATTAAGGGGAAGAGAGCTGCCTTGCTCCAAGGCGCAGGAGCGCGCTACTATGGCGCGGCCGCGCCTGTTGCTCCCCCTGTTTCGTACCCTCTTCTTTGCGGCCGCACATCTCTAAACTCAAGGTCGCGCTTGTACGGGTTCTTTTGGGACAACAAACTACTTTCTCCTTTGTAGTTTTATTATTATAGTTTTCTCTTCATTTTTGGAGGGGGGAGCTTAGAATTTAGTTAGGTTTGATTTTCTTAGAGAGAGAAACTCTAGGTCTTAGATTTGTAGAGAGTGAAACTTGAAGATTGATGGCTGATGATAGTTATAATTGGTTTGATGTCAAGCACATTTCCTTGATTTGATCAAGTTTGTAAGAATACTCTTTACTTTAATTCAATCTTTAGCTTTTGGTTTCAATTGTTTTGTTGCTTATAAGTCTAGTATTGCGGATAGTTTTTAATTCTTTTCTTTCTATCTGTTTTTAAAAACCTATTTTTAAGAAAACAGTCAATCCAATTTGGTTTGGTCCATGGAAAGAGTCCAATAATAGTGTAGTTGGCTGGGGCTTGAAAAGAGCTTCCCAACGATATATTATAAGCCCAATTCTGATGAATAATGAGGAAGTTATGGCCAAATTACTAAACTGGGCCCAGTTTGATTTTTATGTGCGGCCCAATGATCTAGAGGAGGGCCTAATATTGATTTATCATTCCTAATGCAATTAGAATTGATTTTAGTTTTCTAGATTCTTCTAGAAGGTTCTTTTCATTCCTAATTCAATTACCATTGATAAATTGAATTTAGTTGACTTTTTAAATTTTTAATCAAAATAAAAGAACTGTTTTTAAGGAAAATACGATTTTTCCCTTTTGTACGGCTAAATTTTATCAAAATTAGGAAAACGCGTGAAACTGATTATTAGCGCCTGACGTTAGCCTTTAGCTCCTGACGCTATTCTTTAGCGCCTGGCGTTAACCTTCAGCGCCTGGCGCTAATGTCCAGCGTCACGCGCTAATCGTGTTTTATTCTCGTTGAAACTCTGATTTGTTTTTTTTTTTTTTTTTTTTTTTTTTTTTTTTTTTTTTATCTTTTTCTCTATCTTCTTTCCCTTTGGACGCCACCGTACTTTATTGTATGATCACAATGGGGTTCAAGTTTGGGGTAATGCTTGAAATATTCCCTACAGTTTTTTGGCGACTCCACTGGGGAGGATTTCTATTTTAATTCCTGAAATTTATTTCGGCAATGATTTAGAATGAGTGGATGAGACTTGAAAAGTTCTAAGTATTTCATGTGCGTAATTTTGATTAACATTATTGTCATATGCATAAAAAATATCTCATTGGAAAGACCATCCGTAATGAGTTAAAAAATAGGATTTTTACAGGTAGGAAATTTGAGGAATATCTTTCACAATTAGGACCGAAATAATGCTGCACAAAATTGGAAAATTTTATCGAGCACAGAAATCTGCTGAGGCATGTAGGAACTAGAGTCAGAATACAGAGTTTAGCGCCTCTAATTTGACTCTGGCGCCAGGCGGCAGTTTCTGTCATCAGGCGCCAAAGCCAAATTGTTGGCACCGGCCTCTTTTTGCTGGCGCCAAGTTCATCTAATACCGAGCCAGAAATATGCGTTCTAATTTCGATCAGTTTTTAGCAATGTTTTCTCGATCCTACTTCCTAATTGAGTTTTTCTCACTTTTCTGAAACCCATATGTGTTCTCCATATGGACATAACCCTCTGGGATTTCATGCTCCATCTACCTAATTGAATGCTCTATGCAACAAAAGGTACATCCGAGAATGTTGAATTCACCAAACCATGGAAGCGAGTTTTTCTTAACTCGCGGTGTCCCATCCACTCGCGTCAAACCTTCACGGTTAGGCTTCCGCGTGGTGCATCTGGACAGTTAACCATGGACCCTCTTTGACTAACCCATATCCCAAACTTTAGAGAACTAGAGCCATGGTTAGGTTGCAAACTCATTGCATCATATTGTGTCTACTTGACAAATTATGCATTATTTGTTGTGCATACTCTATGTGTTTTTTTCCTAACCGTTTGTTTGACATGTGTTAAGCCTAAATAAACTAA